TCTTGAGACAATTATCTATAACTTGTTAGTTATTTTGAGATATTTATTTGAGTTAAGTTTTAAATTGAGACTTTAAAGTATAATTATGCATTTGGAGTTCCCATTTTGCTTGAGTATGTCTTTCACTTATAGTCAGTCAGGATGAGGATTTGCTTTGGGATCAAAAACGGTTCTTGAGTGTCGGCCACGTTTAGGGTGTAGACTCGGATCGTAAACGATATATTATGATCTTATATGCATGACATATAAAATTTGTTGAAAGGGTACATGAAGTTATTTTATTTTAATTGATAAAATGAGAATAAGAAAAAAAAATTATTTCCAACATTTTTATTTGTGAAAGTGATTTTAAAAGAAAGAAAATAAGAATAAGTCTTTTATAATATTTTAATTAGGAAGAAAATATGTTTAAAAAGAAAATAAATAATATATTTATTCTGAAAATGATATTTTTGATCCATTTAGTAATTATAAGGGTTTTTTTAGATCAAAGAATTGATTATAAGGACATTTTTGAACCAAAATATTGACGGTATGACATTTTTGAGCCAAACTATAAAAGAAAGGCATTTGTGTACATTTCACATGGTTTAAGGGCATTTTGAATCCTTTTAAATGGTATTTGGTTTGATTTGATTTGGTCAGAGTTGATTTTAAATTTTTACAATCGATACCATTTGATTGGTTTTACAAAAAAGAAAGCCACAAAAATAACCAAACTACGACTATAACCAGTCTCAATACTTAAACAATGCACCCAACCCCGATCACCTGCCTGACTTAGTAACCATCATTTCAATAAACAAATAAAATGTCATTATAATCACAAGTATAATATAGGTCGTACTGAATCCTTAGCTTGAGTTGACATTCACATGAAACATTTCCCACATGATTAAATACCAGTCATACCTAAGTCCAACTCATCTTTCAAGTAAGAGAAAAGACATAAAGATACCATCGAAGTTGTCCCATATTTGCATAAAGACACCTAAACTTCTAAAGTGTCCTATCACACCACTAAACAACTATATATCGTTGTAAATTGACCATTTTTACTCATTCCGTCGTCTATGTGATGTGCGTGTTGCTCACTCTCTAGGTAACCCGACCCGACCCTTTTTTTGAAGAAAATTTGTGAACTCCTTTTCATTTCATTTCTCAACTTTTTCCTAAAAAATCAAACGAAATACACTGTGTTGCTGTTGACGATAGTGTTGTTGTTGACAATCTCGTTGTTGATCATTGTTGATCGTTGTTGATGTGTATTTGTGAAGATTCTTGGAGATTGAAGGTCTAACATGTTATGGTTCTAAAATCTTCACTTTTTTCGATTATTCTGAGTTTATGGATTATTATAGTGTAGAAGTGTTAGAATCGACCTCCTACAGTTGCCATTGTTACAAATACGATTCAACATTGCATTTGACATTTTCAATCAAAAACTAACCACAAAATTGAGAAGAAATTCAACCATAAAAAACTTTAAATTAACGTTTATACTGGAAATTAAAAGAGAAAAGACGAATTCCTACCTTATTTTCTTGAGGAAGATGATGAAGTCGTCAAAAAGAGAGAACCAATATTGTTCTTGCCATGGAAATCAAAATTTTAGGGCTACCAAAGGCTATTTTTGAGTTTAAATTGGGGAAGATACAAAAATTGATTAAATAATTAATATTAAAGAAAGAAATGACATGTGGCTGTTTTAAACTGGTAAATAAAAAGGAAAAATGGCACATGACGCGCCTAACGTGCGTATAAACAACCCAGATGAGTTAATGGGTAAAAATGGCCAATTTACAATGATATATAGTTGTTTAGTGGGGTGATGGGACACTTCAAAAGTTTAGGTATCTTTATGTAAATATGAGACAACTTCGATGGTGTCTTTATGTCTTTTCTCTTCAAGTAACCCAAACCACTCAAGGATCAAACAAGCATACATCATACTATAAAAAGGTAAATCTGGTCCTTTCATGAAACCCTCCACACATATATCCAATCATCTCATGGGATCCACAGACCAACAATTAGTTATCTGTTGCGATACTTAAGTCAATCAAAATTAGTATTCATGTCATATGTGATACACGAGCCAACCAATTATCACAAATAATCAAGCACAGTCACGATCAAAATGAGCCATAACACTTGAAACCACAAGCGAAATAAATAAGTTAATTGCATAAGATTATTAACATGATGTCATTTAATTTGATTCTTGTGTTTTTCGCAACATGCATTACACAAAGTGATACTATAAAATTGTAGACATGCAAATATACATATATTGAAAAACACATGCAATCATCACTTATCGAAACGTAACCTCTTAGACAATTCCCGATTGTCCCCAACTTTTCTCACAAATCCTTTTCCAGACAACACGCAATCAAACTGTAAAACAATTGTCATAGCTAACAACCACAATCAGCCTAACCATCTTAGCAACAAGATTAATCATTCAGACTCCATGTTCGAACGCCTATACATGTAATCTCTAAAAAATTCACAAGATATAATGTAGTAAAAACATATCTAACTACTTAATTTAAAGAAACTTAGCCTACATTGGCTCCAAGCATCAATGGATAAACCTCAGCTGTGAGCTTCTGACTCCATGAGGACAAACAATGAAGAACGATCACAGAAAATTCTTGATTTTTGTAATTTCTTCCCTCCATTATTCCCTTGATTTTTAAAATTTTGAAATTTTGCGTGAGATGTCCTTGAGTAACAATGAATTAGATCATTACAATTCAGCACACACCACATATGCTATTAATCTTTTATATACTAGGAGAAGAACAAGTTGTTAGAACAATGTTTGGTGTCTTTCAAGAACATATCCTCGCTGCGCATAGTAGTGTAAAATTTTATTAGCATTAAGTATTTATATAAAATAAAAATATTATATACAATTACACATGCACTTATATTACTCAATGATAATTCATATTAGTTATTTTTAAATTGAAAATTATTACATTTTAAAATATCCTGGATACACAATGGTTTGAGTGGTTGTGTAAATTGATAGGATACACAATTTTTTCTCCATCATTGACTTAAGACCCGTCTGTCCCAAAGAATACTTCAGAGAAATTTGAGGAAAACTTGAGAAAAATTTGGGATGTAGTATTTGGTCATATAACTTGGCAAATACATTTGCCAAGCCTCGCAAGTTCTCAAATATTAAAAAAAACTAGTATATGGGCTAAGTTCTAATATTTGAGAATTTTAAAAAATTCAAAAATTATCCTTTAACTTTATATTTTATAAAAGATACTTACTCCCTTCGTTTCAAAAAGGATAACCTAGTTTGACTTGGAATGGAGTTTAAGAAAAGAAAGAATACTTTTTAATCTTGTGTTATAAATTAAAGTTATGTTAAATGTACCAAAATATCCTTTAATCTTGTGGTCCTAAACATACCACGTGGAAAGTTAAAGTTAAAGTGTTGCAAAAAAAGGAAATGAGTCATTCCTTTTGAAACAGACTAAAAAGGAAATATGGTCCAAAAAGGAGGGAGTATTATTTATTAATTCCAACTAGTACTTGTTACTACCTATTCCCAAAAAGTTCGAATTCTAATTCGAGTTACGAAATTGATAAGAAAGAATAATTTGTTTTTAATGAGTTATAAATAACCGAATCAATGACAAATTTTAATATGCGATTAGTGGATTGTCTTGCCTATATTGTTATTTTGCTGTTGTTCATTGTTATCAATTATATTATAAAGTTATTTTTTAATAAAATATATTCAGTATAAACAGATAGTGCAATTTTATGGATTTTCTTAAATATAGTTTTTAAGACTTATGAATATAAATCATATTTTTTGAAATAATCAAATATTCTTGAAAAAACTTAGGGCCAAACATATGATATAATTTGACAAAAACTTGACCCATATATTATTTGCCAAGAAAATTTGATTACTTGAAGCCAAATGCTAGCTTCAATGTAAGACACAAAACAAATTATATTAAAACAAATATGCATATAATAGCATTAGAGCCTATCACCCAATCACTCACATTGGACGCAAGGTTCACTTGCTGGGAAAAGAGCAACATGATAATATTATTTTCTTTAGTCAAATTTACTTTTGGCTTAGCATGTGTTATTTTTTTTAATTTTCTTTCAAAATTGAGTTACATGATGGTCTAATTTGTCACACCCAAAACAATTGTCATTTTTCTTGGAAGTCTGATTATTGGATCTGAATTTGTAATTAAATTCTCTTTCATACCTGATGCTTTTATTGTGAGACATTATCTTTCAAAATATTGAGTTTCATAGCAATTTTCTTTGTTTCATCAGAAATTGATTGATTTTCTCCAACTTAAATTTTTTAAATAGTTTGTGAAACTCGCTGACACGGCCTTAACGTATTTCTCTATCGTTATTTTTCATTTGAAAAAGTTATTAATAGTAAACTTTGACTTGGTAGCATATTCATTAGTATATTTAGCAAGGGACGAGTCTAAATTCTTTATTTAAACAATATACATTGAACAATTTATTAAAAAGATATTTAACATAACATGCTTACATATCTTATTTAAGAAATCATAAATAAAATGATTATTTTGACTAATTTGCCCTTAATCTATATCGATGATATTGAATTACTAATAGAACCAACTAAGATTCTTTTAGAATCAGTTAGTTGTTATGAAGTTTTCTAGATGTTGTTAATGCAGTGAAGGCAGTGACACGTGAATAATGTAAAGAATGTGAAGTTAGTCAGAATTTTCAGCATTAGTGTTTTCTATATAAAGAGATACAAGTATATTTGATGGTGTAGAAAAATAAACTCAGATTCTAAAGCTAGCTTGTAATAGAAAAAGTTCTTTCAATTTCAATGAAAAGGTTTCATGATTTACTGCTTTGTAGAGTTTAGAAAGTTTTAATGGTATCAGAGCTCTGATCAAGGGCAAAACTAAGAAGAAGAGAAAGTCAGATCCTTGAAGTGTCGAATGTTAACAATGGTGGAAACACAGACAGAAGAAACAGAGATTGATCCGCACACAAATCACAATCATCCTCTTCATCTACAAGCTTCAAATACTCCTGGAGTTGCATTGATTCCTATGAAGCTCACCGGACCAGAAAATTATGGTGTATGGAATAGATCGATGCGTCTAGCACTTCTAGTCAAAAACAAACTTAGATTTGTTGATGGCACATGTGCTAAGAGTTCATATAAAGGAAACTTAGCAATTAGATGGGAGAGGTGTGATGTTGTTATGCTATCATGGATTAGTGCAGCATTAGCTCCAGAATTGATGACAAGCATTGTTTATGCTTCTAGTTCGAAGAAGATCTTGAACGATTTCAAGAAAAGGTTTGACAAATTGAATTTGACCAGAATTTTCCATCCGTGGAAGGAGATCACAATGATTCGTCAAGGTACTGATTCTGTAGCTTTTTATTACTCATTAATTAGAGATCTATGGGACGAAATGGATGTAATGGTACCATCTCCTTCTGTGATTGTGTGGAGTCAAGTTCTAATGTTGAACATGTTAAACAACAAAGACTGCTACAGTTCTTAATAGGACTGAATGAAAGTTATGCACAAGTTAGGGTTCTATTCTACTTAGTGCAACTGTTCCTAGCGTTAATCAAGCTTATGCAATGGCAATTCAAGAGGAAAGTCAAAGGATATTAGGACAAACTGAAGGTGGTAATGATCATTTAACAATGATGGCTTGTAGAACTACACAACTACACAATTTTCAAACACAAAATCACAATTTGCAAGATAGAAAACCTCAAGGTCAGAACTCATATGGAAAGAAGCCAGGACTGATCTGTGAGCACTGTGGATTTAAAGATCACACAAAGGATACCTGCTATAGAATTATAGCTTTTCCAACTGATTTTAAAAGCAAGAGGAGTCATCAACAAATGAGGATACTATGCCTCATGCCAATGTCTTAGCAGTAACTTCATCAGGTTGAGAGAAGAATGAAGGACCTGGTTCTAAGTTCTACTTTCCAAGAGGACTCTTTACTAGAGAGCATTGTGATCAATTACTCAAAACGATGGATCCACCAACAGGAATTTGCAAGGCTAATGCTCTAGCAGGTAAACATGATCTACCTAGTAATGTTAATGATGATGTTAGATGGATAATCGATTCAAGTGCTACACATCATGTAACTTACTGTAAGAGTCTGCTAGGTGAATGTAGAAAATTATCATACTCACATCACAACAAGTTTCAGGTACCAATAGGAAATAGAATACATGTTGATCATATTGGAGATGCAGTGATTTTGGGAGATTGTAAGATTAAAAATGTTCTGCATGTACCAGACTTCAGATTCAATTTATTATCGGTATCAAAGTTGACTAGGGATTTAAAGTGCATGGTATCTTTTTATCCTGACTTCTGTGAAATGTAGGATCTATTTACTGGAGAGGTGATTGGGATTGGTAAAGAGGAAGAAGGTCTGTATATCCTGAAGCATAGACATGAAGTTACACCTGTAATTGGAGCTGCTTTAAAAGAAGAATTCAGTAGAACATAGATTGTGGCATCTTAGGTTGGGTAATCCTTCAATAGAAGTAATGAAGCATTTTTCAATATTGAAGAATATAGTTGATGAAAATGTGCAGATTGATTATATGATTTGTCCACTAGCAAAGCAATTTAGGCTTAAATTTCCTTCTAGTATTACTCAGACTTCTAAGATGTTCCAGCTTGTTCATTTAGATTTCTGGGGACCTCATAAATATCCCACTTATGATAGAAAACATTATTTTCTGACTGTTGTAGATGATTTTAGCAGATTCACATAGATCACATTATTACAATCTAAGAAGGATGTAATAGTTGTGCTGAAAAGTTTTATAGCCATGATTTGTAATCAGTTTGATTGTTCAATAAGAATTCCGAGGTCTGACAATGGTACTGAGTTTTTTACCAATCAATTCTCTGATTTACTATATTCATTAGGTATTATACACAAAAATAGTTGTCCTTATACAACACAACAGAATGGTGTTGTTAAAAGGAAACATAGACATATTTTTGAAGTTGGCAGAGCCTTGAAATTGCAATCTCATGTGCCTAGAAGGTTTTGGGTGATTGTGTACAAACAACAATCTATTTAGTCAACAAACTGCCCACTGATGTATTGAAAGGGTGTTCTCCTTATGAAGTGTTGTTTGAGAGATCACCTAGCCTAGATCACATTAGAGTGGTTGGTTGTTTATGTTATACTAATGTGTTTCCTAGAGGAGGAAAGTTTGAGGCGAGATCAAAGAATCAGTGCTATTGGGGTTCTCTACCACACAAAAAGAGATACAAGTTGTATAACTTAGATTATCAAAGTGTGTTTGTAAATAGGGATGTTGTATTCAATGAGAGGGTATTTCCTTTTAAGGATTTGCAGTCTGACAGTGAAGGTCCACATTCGTTGTTTTTACCCTTCTCAGATCACATAGATGGAGCTCTTACTCAAGATTCATACCTGGATGTTAATTTGCAATTGTCAGACCTATGTCCTTCTGTTGAATCCCCTGCAAATGTCACAACATCTGGTTAAGACCTTGCTCTCTAAGTAGTTTCTCCATAAACTTCTGTAGATTCATTGCAAGCAGAAGATGTGTTTCTAGTAGCTCCCATACAAGAGGTGCCACAAGTCAATGCTGGCCCAAGGAAAACATAAAGATCATGCAAACCACCTCTGTGGCTCAAGGATTTTGTTGTGCCCAAGAAGGATAATCCTCACTCTATTACTAATCATGTTTGTCATGACAATATGTCTCCAGGTAATCAAACTTAATTACATACTTTTTAAACAATTGTAGAAACTCAATCTTTCAAAGAAGCCTCTCAAGTCAAGCTGTGGATGGATGCCATGCACCAGAAATCCTAACTTTAGAAGACAATTACATTTGGACTATTGTTGAGTTGCCACCAGGTGAAAAGGCCATTGGTTCAAAGTCGGTGTACAAGATTAAATACAAGTCAAATGGTGAAGTGGATAGGTACAAAGCTTGACGAGTTGCAAAAGGATTCACTCAAAGAAAAGGCCTTGATTATCATGACACCTTCTCTCCAGTTGCAAAAATGGTTACCATCAGAACATTTTAAGTCTGGCAGCTTCAAATGGATGAATCTCTCTCAAATGGATGTCAATAATGTCTTTTTACAAGGTGATTTAGTTGAATATATTACATTGAACTTCCTCTTGGCTTCCAGAAGAGGGGAGAAAATAAAGTATGTAAGCTAAGGAAGTCACTCTATGGTCTCAAGCAGGCATCACGACAATGAAACATCAAGTTTAGTGATGCACTATTATCAACAGGTTATATTCAAAGTGCCCATGACCACTCTTTATTCATTAAAAGGGAAGGAGATGACATGGTTATGATTCTGGTATATGTTGATGATCTTTTAATCACTGGAAATAGATCTTAAATGATTCAAGAGGCCAAAGTCACACTGCATAGGAATTTTAAAATGAAGGTTTTGGGAAGTCACAAATACTTCTTAGGGATAGAAGTTTTGAAGTCAAAAGAAGGGATATTATTGAATTAAAGGAAGTATGCCTTGCAACTCATTTCAGAAGTTGGATTAAGTGGAGCAAAGGTTGCAAATACTCCTTTAGAATTCAATCAAAAGCAAACTAGTCTAGAATATAATCAACATATTAGGAACACTACTGATTCTGCTGATACAAAATTGGAAGATATCACAGCATACCAAGGTTAATTGGGAAATTATTGTATTTTATGATTATCAGACCTGATAATTGCTTTAGTGTACAGGTGTTAAGTCAGTTTATGCAACATCCAAAAATCTCACATTAGGAGGCTGCATTGAGGATTATGAAATATTTTAAGAATTCCGCAGGCCTTGGAATTTTGCTTAAAAGAGGAACAGGTCCTCTTGAGCTCACTGGATATTATGATTCTGATTAGGCCTCATGTCCCAACACACGTAGATCACTGACAAGATATATAGTAAAACTTGGTGATTCCTTGATCTCATGGAAGTCTAAAAAACAGCAAATTGTTAGTAGAAGCTCTACTGAAGCAGAGTACAAAAGTCTATCAGCCTTGTTATTGAATGTGGTATGGCTAGCAGGGTTACTTGCTGAACTAACTTTTTCAGTCACTAGTCCAATCAAGGTGTTTACAGACAGCAAATAAGCTATGCAAATAGCCGAGAATGCAGTCTTTCATGAACGCACAAAGAACATAGACATTGATTGTCTTTTCATTCGAGAAAAGGTGAAGTCCAATTTCATTAGCCCCAAGTATCTTTGCACCACTTTGCAACCTGCAGATATTCTTACTAAAGGTCTGGGGGTTAGACAACATCATCTTCTTTTGAGCAAACTTGGTGTGCTAGATATCTTTCACCCTGCAATTTGAGGGGGTGTATTGAATTTCTAATAGAACCAACTATTATTCTTCTAGAATCAGTTAGTTGTTTTGAAGTTTGTTAGATGTTGTTAATGCAGTGAAGGCAAAGACACGTGAATAATGTGAAGTATTTGAAGTTAGTTAGAATATTCAGTATTAATGTTTTCTATATAAATAGATACAAGTGTATTAGATGGTGTAGAAAAATAAGCTCAGATTCTAGAGCTAGCTTGTAAAAGAAAAAGTTCTTTCAATTTCAATGAAGAGGTTTCATGATTTACTGCTTTGTAGAGTTTAGAAAGTTTTCAGATGAATATCAAGATAATTTATGATGATATAGGGTATACAATAAGAATAAGTAGTCCATAGTGAGTAGAGCAAGAGTACATATGAATAATGAAGTATTTAATGAATTCTTTGGAAAGATAAATTCTAGGAACTTTAATTTTGTTTAAGCTTAAAAAGAAAAATTATGGAATATTAATTATAGGGTAAAATGAGAAAAAATCAATTAATTTCTTGTTTTAGTATGTGATCAAATAATTTGGAACAAGTATTTTTAGAAAGGTGATAAACTAATATGGGACCGAGGAAGTAGTAATATACTTTCTTTGTCCCTAATAACTTGGTTCATTTTTTAGTTGTCTATAATTATTTGTTCATTTTGACAAATCAAGAAAAGACAAAATGTTTTTACCTATTATTGTCACGGCTTGAGCTACCCTGAGATGCGGACACGGAATCTAGGACCACAAGTAATCCCAAGCTAACCCTTCTGGCATGATTATGAGCATACTAAAGATAATAAACTGATGTGGAAGCTAAGTCATAATTAAATCTGGAAAGATGGAGAATACCTATATGCTAAAACTGAGATATATGAAAAACCGATGAGTTTAATACAAAGAACTATTACTCACTACTAAGCTGAAACAAACTATGTGTGAAATAAGCCTCTAAACTGGACTAGAAATACTGGGACAAGCCCCAGCTAAATCTAGCAAAAATGCAATGACCAATTTATAACATGCTGAAACTGAATACTGAATATACAAATAAATGGTCAATGCAGAGAGTCTGACTAAACTGTGGGAGCTACTAATAATCGATAATAAAACCACATAAACTAATTGTGGAGTCCGATGTATACGCCCCATCGAGAGGACCCAAT